CCCGAGCAAAATTCCTCGCTGGGGAGGAGCAGAGCAAGGCAGGAGGGGGGGCTGGGGGGAATGGAAAGGATCAAGGGCTTCGTGCTCCAAAACGGGGCACCGCGCGGTGGCGAAGGCTGTGCCCCAGCGCGCTGGGAATCCCCTGGGTGGCCCCCAGCTCTCCAAACCGACCCCTCCAAAAAATCAAAATAAAAAAAGGGAGGAGTTGGAAGAGGGGGGGGGGGACCTGCCCAGGGAATTCCCCAGCAGCCGGATGGGAGGAGCAGCTGGTCCGGGGTGTGTGTGTATGGGGGGGCTGCGCACCCCATCCCTCCTCCTGGCTGCCCGCATCCGCCCACCCCCGCGCACGGGGCGGCGCAGCCCCAGCTCCATTTATCATCATCTGCGGGCAAGTGGAGTGTGCAGGGAGCAGCTGCTCCGCTCGGCTGCGCAACGGGGGGGCCGCGCTGTTTGGGGAGGGGGGAGGAGGAAAGAGCCAGGGGCTGGGGTCTGCCCTCTGCATCCTCCCCAACACGGGTACCCCGGTTTGTGGGGCGCTTTGGAGAGGGGTGTTGGGGAAGGGGTGTGATGGAGAGGGGGTGTTGGGAGGGTTAAAAAGGGGGGGGGGATGGAGAGGGGGTGCATTAATGGGGTGTGCTGGAAATGGGGTGCATTGAAGGGGGGCACCAAGAGGGGGTGCATTAATGGGGGGCATTGGAAATGGGGTACATGGAAGGGGGGCACTGAGGAGGTGCATTAATGGGGGTGCACTGGAAATGGGGGGCATTAATGGGGGGCATCAGAGAGAGGGGGTGTTATTGGGGTGCGCTGGGCACAAAGTGCTTTGAAGGGTTGCGTTTGGGAGGGTGCATAAAGGGGTGCACTGCAAAAAGGGTGCGTGGAGGGGTACGGTGGGGAGGGGGCCTTAATGGGGGGCGTTGCAGAGTTAATGGGGTACGTGGGAGTGAGGGTGCGTTAAGGGGTGCATTGGGCAGAGAATTAACGGGGTGCCCTGGAGAGGGAGCACCCAAAAGGGGTGCCCGACCCCCGGCGAGATGGGCACCGTCCCCTTGTGCTGTGGGGGCACCATTTGGGGCCAAAGGGGGATGAAGCCCGGGGGCAGCCCCCAAAAGGCCCTGGACGCTTTGATCCTGGCCCCGGGGAAGCCCCAGGGATCCCTCGGGTCCCTCTGGGCGTCGTGTTCCCGGGGGTGTCCGTCTGTCCCCCCTGGCTCCTCGGGGCCGTTTCTCAGGGTTGCTACCCGCACACGTCCCCGATCCCACTGCCCCCCCCTCCCCATCCCCTTCCTTTCCCTCTCTCCCCTTTTTCTCTCCTCCCTTAATAATAAAATTATACGAAGCAGTTTGCGGTGTGGCAGCCTGCCAGGAAGTGTTTCTTTAAACTCCACCAGCTCACAATTAAGCAAATCCGGGGCTGACACTCCTCGATAGGCACTTTGCTCCCCCCTGAGAGCTGCGGAGGCGGGTGGGGGGGGGACCAGGGTTGGGACCAGCGACCGCTGCCCCCTCCCCAGCAGGGCTGAGTCCCCCCAAAAAAAAAATAATCCAGGGTTTGGGGGAAGGGGGGTCTGGTGCATGGCAAGGGGGTTTCGTGGCAGGGATTTGGGAGGAGGGAGCGGGGAGGGCCATGGAGCAGGGGGGGTCCGTGGTGACAGCACTGCCTCTGGTGCAGAGCGCGCCGCTATTTTTAGTCGGCGAGTCCTTGGCGGTGGCGCATCAGGAAAAGCCTGAGAAACTGGCCTGCCCGGGAGCACGGCCACAGCCCCGCATGGATGAGGCCCCGCGGGGAGAGCAGCAGCTGGGAAACGGGGCTGGGGGTTAAGGGAGGGGGTCCCCAGGGCGATGCGCCGGGGGTCTGGGCGCTTACGCGTTTGGAGAGCTCCGGATCCGGCCCTCGGTGCTGCAGCGCTGCCTCGTCCCTGCCAGCCATCGGGAGGAAGGAGAAGGAAGGAGAAGGAAGGAGGGAAGGGGGAGGAAAATCCAGCCAAGCCCAGGCAACGCATCGCAAATCCAAGCGGGTGGGCACCTGCAGCCCCCGGGGGGCACGGTGCCGTGCCCTGCTGCTGGCACCGGGACAGCCCCGGGCACCAGTGCGTGGCCCCAGGTCATGCACCAGCCCCGGGAGGTCCCCCGGGTCCTGCGTGTCCCCAGAGGGTGACAGCAGGGCTGTGCTGGGGGCTGTGGGGCCGTGCGGGGTGTCCACGGGGGCCACCTCTCCAAGGGGACCGAGGGGATGGGATGCTGAGGGTGGCCGTAGCCTGATGCGAGCGTGGCTCCTTGCGTGGCAGGACAGGGTCGTGCTGGCTCTGGGCACCGTGGTGTCCCCATGTCACCGTGTCCAACAGACGGAGCCCCTTTTGGGGTCACCCTTTGGGCATCCCCAGAGCCCCCCCGTGTCGATTCCCATCCCAGGGCTGTGACAGGGGGGGCGCGTGCACGCAGCCCCAGGGCCGCGGCCGCTTCCTCCTCCCCCTCCTGGAAAGGGACTTAACCTTGCTGCTGTCGACAGCTTGATTTGATGCCATTAAAGCGTTTGCTCGGAAACAGCCTCCATCAGGAGGCAACATCTGTTAGGTCCCTCCGCCAGCAGAGCCGCGGCACAGCCCAGGGCAGAGCTGCTCCTCGGGCAGGGCTGGGTGCTGCTGCCAGGGAGGGTTTTACCCCCCCCCCTTGGGCTCAGCACCTTGCTCGGAGCAGGCTTTCAGCTCATTTCGGATGGAGAATCCACCAGCAGCCCCATCCAACCCCTGATATTTCGGCCCCCAAAAGGAGCTCCCTGAGGGCGCAGGGGGAGCCCAGCCCGTGCCACGCACTGGGACGTGGCTGAGGCTGGTGGTGCCCAGCTGGGTGTTGGTGTGCGGGCACGGCCGTGGCCCGATCCTGCCCCGGGGGCTTCCACGCATGCACACCCTGCAATTCGCACACCCTGCACGTGTGCACACCCCACACACGTGTAGGATCTCCCCATGCCTCCAGCCCTTGCACGCCCACCGTGCCCCCTGCGTGCGTCCCCCCCCCTGTGCGCGCTGGTGCGCGGCACGTCCCCTCGCGCCGGGTGCTTTTCGCTCAGCTTGGCATTGCCCCAGCTGTTTTGTGGGAAAGTAATAATAATTAATAATAAAAGAGAAAGCAAGGAGGGAGAAAGCACCCCTTAAAGCAACAGACCGGGGATTTTTCTCGAGCCGATCCCATTTTTCAAACCTGCTTCCACGTGGAGCTGTAGGGGCCCTTTTCTCCCTTTAATTTTCTCGCCGCCGCTCCGGGCTGCCCCAGAGGCCTGGCTTTGATTTTGCTCCCTTTGTTCTCGCAGCCCCCGCGCCCCCCCGCCTCCCCCCAGCCTCCCGAGCAGGACGGGGCAGCCCCCACACCACTTTGGCACGAGGGGCGTTAGCAGCGGGCTGGCCGGATTTTAATTGACCTGTCTTTTTCCCTGAGATATACGCCTTAACCGCATCCAGCTGCCCGTGTGGCCGGCGAGATGGAGCTGCAGGATGGAGGGGAAACGCAGAAAAAGACCAAAAAGGGGCTGTGGGGGGGGAACGTGGGCACAGGACCGTGGTTTTGGGGTGCTGGGCTGGTGCAGGCAGCACTGAGCCGTGCTCCAGGGGTGCTGTAGTGTCAGTGGGGTGAGAGCCAGGGCATCCTTGAGAGGGTGGCCCCAAGGAGCTGGCGGCCTCCCCTCATTAAACTCATCACCCTAATGAAGCTGGAGGGGACGGTGTGGGTTGCATGGGGGTCACCGCTGCGGCACGGCCGAGGGAGAGGCATCAGGGAAGTCCCCAGGGGGTGCAGAAGGGGGGGGACCCCATGTCTCCAACCCACTGTGGACGGGCAGGATGCGTCCCCAGCGCCACCCAGCCCTTCGGTAGCGCGCGGGGTCCCTCCCCGCGAGCTGCCTCCGAGATCAAACCGGTGACCCAGGTGCTTCCCCGCACCGAGCGCGAGCAGGGAGAGGAAATGGGGACATTTAATGACGACTGCGCCGAGGCGCTCGGCTAATAGACGTCTGCTGGCGGGAGCAGACAGCTTCCAGATGGTATCGCACCGATGCAGGGGTTATTGGCTGGGGACGGGGAGGGGGGGGCTGCGGGAGGAGGCAGCAGGCACAGACGGGCAGACCCAGGAAGTTGAAATGACTTTTTTTTTTTTTTGTGCAGCAGAACCCGCGCTTCTGTCCCTCCGCGCTGCTGCCTCCAGTAATTATGGCGATAATTAAAAATAGTGGCAAGAAGCGGGGTGTTTGGAGGGGCTCGCAGGATCCTGGTGTCCCCGGGGAGGGCACGCAAGGAGGGGTTACTGGTTAAGTGATTTCCAGAGTGAGGAGCATGAAATGGAGCACGGGGGGACCCCAGCACAGCGTGGTGGGGGCATGGCATGCTGTGGGGTAGGCAGAGCAGTGGAGGAATCACCCTGCAATGCTGGGGCAGGTGGCAGGGATGGGAGAAGGTGCCACCAGCATCAGCAGGGCAAGAGGAGGCAGCGGGGCCCCAGACATCCCCCAGGTTGCAGGCATGGTGCTGCGGAGCAGGGCGATGCAGGGCGAGGAGATGCGGAGCAGGGCGATGCAGGGCGAGGCGAGGTGATGCAGGGCGATGCAGGGCAATGCAGGGCGATGCAAATTGGTGCAAGGCAATGCAACGTGACGCAGGGCGATGCACAACAATGCAAGGCAGGGCGAGGCGATGCAGGGTGATGCAAGGCGAGGGGACGAGGCGCGATGCAAAGAGGCGCAAGGCGAGGCGAGGAGGCGCACGGTGCTGCAAAGCGGTGCAAGGCGAGGCGATGCAGGGCGATGCAGAAGGCTGCAAGGCAAGGCAGGGCGATGCAGAGCCAGGTGCCACGATCCAGGGCCATGCAAGGTGACGCAGTGCCAGCGAGGCGCTGCCCCGGCAGGCGCGGTGATGCCCGCGGTGCCCCCTGCGTGCGCTCCCCGGCCCGCGGCGGTGGCGGCGGCGGCGGTGGCGATGCTTCATTTGAATTCTCGCCTCTCTCTCTTCGCAGATAACAAGCCCGCGCCATGCAGTCCTTTCGAGAAAGGTGTGGTTTCCATGGCAACCAGCAGAGCTACCAGCCGACTTCACAAGATACATCACGCCTGGAGAATTACAGGCATCAAAGTCAGGCAGGGCCGAACTGCGAGCGGCAGAGGCTGGTGGCGAAGGAGTACTACAGTCAGCAGCAACTGCCGTACGCGGGCTACGAGAACAGCGCCGTGGAGAAATACCACCGGGGAAACAAGCAATTAGCGGGGCAGCAGCTGCAAGGCAGGCCGGCCTTTTCCAATTACGCCGTGCAGGAGAACAGCCCCTACCCGGCCCGCTATTCGGGGGACGAGGGCCTGCAGGCGTGGGGCAGCCAGGCGCAGGCGCTGCCCGGCGGGGTGGCCAAGTATGAGGACAGCCTGATGAAGAAAACAGGCGGCGCCGGCGGGCGGGCGACCCTACCACGAGCCGGCGGCGGCCACCCCGCTGCCCTTCCGGACTCATTTCCAGCAGCAGCAGCAGCAGCAGCCGCCCGCGCTCCCCTACCCCAAGCTGCAGCGGCAGAAGCTGCCCAACGACGTCTCCTCGCCCATGCCCTTCCCGCAGAGCCCCCATTTCGGGCAGCACTCGCAGTCCTTCCCCGCCTCCTCCACCTACTCCTCGGTGCCGGGGGGCAGCCAGCCGGCGCACTCCTACAAGAGCTGCACGGCCCCTTCGGGGCAGCCGCCGCTGGAGAGGACCCCTGGGCAGCGCCGCCAGCCTGGCCCCCGGCCCCCGCGTGCCCAACCTGCACGGCTACCAGCCCAACCGCATCGGCTACGAGCAGCCCCCGCAGCCCCCGCCGCAGCCCCCGCAGCCCCCGCCGCCGCCGCAGCCCCCGCAGCCTCCCCAACCCCAACCTCAGCCCTTGCAGGGGAGGCATCACGCCCCGGAGACCCTCCACTACCAAAACCTGGCCAAGTACCAGCATTACAACCAGCCGGGGCAGACCTACTGCCAGGGGGACGCGCCCCCCGTCCGGACGCCGGAGCAGTATTACCAAACCTTCAGCCCCAGCGCCAGCCACTCGCCGGCACGCTCCGTCGGCCGGTCGCCGTCCTACAGCTCCACGCCGTCCCCGCTGATGCCCAACCTGGAGAATTTCCAGTACAGCCAGCAGCCGCTGAACGCCGGCGCCTTCCCGGCCGGCATCGCCGACCACAGCCACTTCATGCCGCTGCTGAACCCTTCTCCCACCGACGGGACCAGCCCGGATGCTCAATCCGGGAACTGCAAGAACCTGCCGAAGGAGAAGCTGCCCGAAAACCTGCTGTCGGACCTGAGCCTGCAGAGCCTGACGGCGCTCACCTCCCAGGTGGAGAACATCTCCAACACCGTCCAGCAGCTGCTGCTCTCCAAATCGGCCGTGCCGCAGAAAAAAGGCATCAAGACCCCGGCGAGGACCCCCGAGCAGCTCAAGGGGCAGCACTGCAGCCCCGAGAGCAGCACGTACTCGGCGGAGCAGGTGGGGACGCCGCTGTCCGACCCGCTCAGCACCCCGCAGTCCGTCCACGCCGAGACGCAGGACGCCGACTATCTCAGCGGCTCGGAGGACCAGCTGGAGAGGAGCTTCCTCTACTGCAACCAGAACCGCAGCCCTGCCCGCGTCAACAGCAACTCCAAGGCGAAGCCCGAGTCCGTTTCCACCTGCTCCGTGACCTCCCCGGATGATATGTCCACCAAATCGGACGATTCCTTCCAGAGCATCCACGCCAGCCTGCCCCTGGAGACCTTCACCAAGTACGTGACCAACGAGCGGGACTGTCCCCGGCTGCTCCTCAGCGCGCTGTCCCAGGAGGAGCTGGCCTCCGAGATCATCGTCCTGCAGGACGCCATCAGCGAGAAGGGGGACAAAGCCTGGGCCAACTCGCCCATGTTGAGCAAGGAGGCCACCAAGTCCCCCTTCCAGCTGGAGAACCACCGGCCGTGCCTGGACTCCATGGTGAAGGGCGCGTGGCCCAGCCAGGGCGACTCCAGCACCCTCACCGAGCCCCTCAAGCTGGACAAGGCTTCGGGGGGCAGCGCGGGGAAGGACTTTGGGGAGGAGGTGTATGAGGGTCCCCAGGTGGAGTTCGCGGCCACCGAGACCAAGGACTCGCTCAAGGATGCGGCCCCGCTGGCGTTCAATTCCAAGCCCAGCATCCCAGCCGCCACTTCCAGCGCGGGGGCCTCCAGCTTCAGCTGCTACTCGAACACCACGGCCAACTCGGTGGACTCCGAAAACGCCATGGAGCACTTCGAGTGGCCGGAGGAGAGCCTGGGCGAGGCGTGCCTCAGGTGGAAGGAGCTGGGCTCGGGTCTGCAAGCCTCCGACCTCCCCAAGGGCTTGTTCCCCAGCAAAATGGTGGGGTCCTGCAAGGAGAAAAAAAATGCCTGCAGCTTGGATCTGTGCGACGGCGAGCAGCCGGCCAAGAGCGAGCCGGCCCGGGACTTTGCCCAGCAGGCGATGGAGGAGGAAGAGGAGGAGACGCTGACCTACGACGAGGCCACGAAGGCAGACAGCGAGAGGTGGCTGCAGGACACCCGGCACTGCTGCTCGGCCGGGGACTTTGGCGAGATCCCCATGATCTCGTCGCCGGAGCTGAAGGAGTCGGACCTGGAGGCGGAGGAGTACTCCTCGCTCTGCGAGCTGGCGGGCGCGGAGCAGAAGCCGGTGCCCTACGACGCCTCGCCGCCCAAGCCCCCGGAGATGCCCGCCGTGCTGTCCTGCCAGCGAGGTGCCCGTGTCCGCCGAGGAGACCGTCAGCACGGTGGAGAAGGAGGGCTCGGCGCCCTCAGCGCGCCTCTCCGGCCAGTCCGTCATCCTGCTGGGCCCCGCGGTGGGCACGGAGACCAAGGTGAAGAGCTGGTTCAAGTCCTCCCTGCCCCACATCCAGCCCGAGGAGGGCGGCGGAGGGGAGAAACCTCACCCGGAGGGGGCGGATTCCGAACCTTTGAAGAAGCAGCTGGTGCCCGAAACCGTGCTGGGGAAGACGGAGCCTGTCTCGTGGGGCAAGAGCCTCCGCAACAAGAGGGTGCACTGCCGGCTGCCGGAGGGGGACGGTCCCGGCGGCGCGGTGCCAAGCCCCTTCGATGAGCTGCCGGTGGCGTGCGTCAGGCCGGACGGGCAGGTGGAGATGCCGAGCAAGAACGCCCACAGCCAGACGCCCAGGTTTGCGGCGGAGGGCTTGCCGGCACGCATGTGCACCCGCTCCTTCACCGCCCTCGCCGAGCCCCGCACCCCGGCCCCGCTGGAGGGGCTGAAAGTGCCGGTGCACCAGGAGAAGCTGGGGAAGAAGCCGGCCTGTGGGGTGAAGCAGCGGGTGGCTTTCAAGGCCAGGAAGCGAGCGGCCGGCCGGCTCCTAAAGTGGTCCAAAACGCCGGCGGCGATGCCACCCTCCTGGTGCCCAGCTTGGTGCCCGCCGAGGAGGCAGCGGGGCCGACGCCGCCGGAGGGGGACGCGGCGGACGCGGGGGAGAGGGACCAGCGGTCGATGATCCTGCGCTCCCGGACGAAGACGCAGGAGGTTTTCTACACCAAGAGGCGGCGGGGCAAGCGGGCGGCGGAGGTGCGGCTGAAGAACTGCAAGGCGCCCAAAAAACTCATCTCCAACAACCACCTCCCGCCCGCCTTCAAGCTGGCCCCCCCGGGCAGCCCCCACAAGGAGGGCAAGGTGGGAGCCAGGATGAAGCTGCCCAAAACGGGGCCGGGAGTGGGCGGCAAGATGTCCGAGCGGCCCCTGCACTCGCTGAAGAGGAAATCCACCTTCATCTCCCCCTATCCCCTGCCAAGAAGAGGAACCTGGTTCTGCGGAGCAACAGCGGCGGCATGAAGGAGGAGAAGCCCGAGGGTCCCCCCAGCCTCTTCAAGAAGATGCCCGTGGCCAAGAAGGTGAAAGCAAAGCTGCCCCCCAAAAGCCCCGGGGAAGCCGTCCCGAAACCCCCACCGCCAAAGGAGGCCCCCGACGTCTGCATCAAGATCACCTCCCGGGCGGCCTTCCAGGAGGCCACCAAGACCAAAGTGCTGCCTCCCCGCAAGGGCCGCGGCCTCAAGCTGGAGGCCATCGTGCAGAAAATCACCTCGCCCAACCTGAAGAAGTTCGCCTGCAAGCCGGCAGCCACGGCAGTGGCGGCGGCGGCGGCGGCGACGGCGGCGGCCACCTACGGCACCTCCCTGAGCCCGGCGGGGGCGGAACGGGAGCGGGCGGTGAAGCACGGCGGCGTGGCCCCGGCGGTGGGCGACGCGCGGCTGCCCAAACCAGCGGCGGCGCAGAAAGCACCCGCGGCGCCGTCGGCCGAGCAGTTCTGCCGAAACGCCCACTGGCAGAGCGCTGAAGGGGAAGCCGGGCAGTGGGAAGAAACTCTCCGCCGACGGCTTCCAGGGCGAGACGTTGGTGCCGGCCGTGGTGGCGGCGCAGCCCGGCTCGGCGGTGGTGGCCAAGAACGCGGCGCTGCTGCCCAAGAAGAGGAACCGCAAGGGCAAAGCGGCGGCGTTGGGCATGGCCAAGGCGCCCTTGGGCCCAGCGTTGCCGCTGCCACCGCCCCGTGAACGGGTGGCCGGGCCGGGCGGCGGGGACGAGGCGCCGCGGGAGGGCAAGAAACCAAAGAGCGAGGAGAAGGAGGCAGGGGGCGGAGAGGGCCCCGAGGGGCGTTCGGCGGGCGGGCCGGCGCGCGGGCCGAAGGCGCGGGCCAACCACGCCAACTACAACGGCTACTCCAAGCGGCAGAGGAAACGTTTGGCCCACGGCAAGGCCAAGGCAGGTGCCGTCGCGGTGCAAGAGCCGGGGCAAGCGGCGGCGGCAAGCCCAGCAAGCGCCTCTGCTGCACCCCGCCGAGCCCGAAATCCGCCTCAAGTACATCTCCTGCAAGCGGCTGCGGGCCGACAGCCGGGCTCCCCCCTTCGCGCCCTACGTCCGCGTGGAGCGGCGCGGAGACTTCACCACCGCCTGCACCGTGGTCAACTCGCCCGGCGACGAGGCCCGGCTGCAGCGGGGACCCCCCGGCACGGCGCCGAGGCCGCGGGCGGCTCTGCCGGCCTCGTCCACCATGCACATGGGGCCCGTGGTGTCGAAGGCGCTGAGCGCCGCCTGCCTGGTGTGCTGCCTGTGCCGCAACCCCGCCAACTACAAGGACCTGGGGGACCTGTGCGGGCCCTACTACCCTGAGGACTGCCTGCCCAAGAAGAAGGCACGGCTGAAGGAGAAGGCGCGGGCGGAGGGCGAGGAGGCCGGCGTGGTGGAGAGGGGGCCGAAAGGGACGGAGAGCAGCAGTTGGGCGGCCGGTGGCAAGCCGCCGAGGCCGGAGGGTGCCGCCGAGGCTGCCAAGCAGAGCTCGCTCCGCTCCAGCCCCCGGGGCATGTTTCGCAGGCTGCAGAGCTGCTACTGCTGTGACGAGAGGACAGAGGGCGAGGAGGCGGCCGAAAAGCCCCGGAGGCACGAATGTAACAAAGCCGAGTCCCCGGCGGCGGCGGCGGCGGCGCAGGAGCCGGGGGCGGGCGACACGCAGGAGCACTGGCTGCACGAGGCCTGTGCCATATGGACCGCTGGGGTTTTCCTGGTGGCGGGGAAGCTCTACGGGCTGCAGGAGGCCGTCAAGGCGGCTGCCGACGTGGTAAGAGCTCGGCCACCCCACCCGGAGCGGAGAGGCCGTGGGGGGGACGGAGGGGATGGAAGGCGGCAGCTCCTCCAAACGGGTGGCGCGTACGGCACGGCCGGAGCGCACGGAGTCACCGACCCCATTTTTGGCTCACCCCAGCCCCGTGTGGCAGAGAGAAGTTGGTCCCGGAGCTGGGCACTGCCCGTATGCCGGGATTTTGTAGGGTTTTCGGGGCAAACCGAGGGCTAACGGCGTGTTACTGCCCGGGAGCAGGGGAATCCCCCAGGACACCCGGCTGCAGCGGGGGCGAAATTAATAGGGCTGGTCAGCAAGCTGCCGGGCATTACAAATTGTCCTGGGAGACCGGGGCTGGCGTTGGGATGCGATGAACCCGGCTGGCTTCCCGGGAGATTCGTGCTGCTGCCTCCCTGATAAGGCCTAAAATCCTCCTTTTTAGCCTTAAAAATGGTTTTGTGCTGTCACGCCATCCGGCGGCTCAGGGAGGGTCGGACACAGTCCGCGAGGAGCATGGGGACACTGGGGGGGGCAAATTAGGGAGGACACTGCTGGGACACTGCCATGGGGACATGGGGTCTGCCCCCGAGCCATGGCACGGCCACGTCCCTTCCCTCCTGCCCACTCTCTGCTTTCAGCATTTTCCACCCAAAAAAGGGTGGCCGCAGCCGGTGGCGCGGTGCACGGGCGCTGGAGGGAGGGCGCTGCCGGGGGGGGCAACTCGGGGACAGTGGGGGCCATTTGGGGCTCTGACGAGGTCTCTCTGTCTCTCTCTCCCTCCCCGCTGTGTGTTCAGAAGTGCTCGAGCTGCCAGCAAGCGGGGGCCACGGTGGGCTGCTGCCAGAAGGGGTGTCCCCACACCTACCACTACGCGTGTGCCATCGACACAGGTGAGCCCCCCAGCAGCGGGGACGGGGGGGGGGACGACGTGGGGACCCCCCCACCCCAAGCTCCCTCTGAGCCGGCTGAAATCGGGGACGGGGTGGGCTGGGGGCTCCCCGTGGCGGATGGCGAGGTGCTTGGTGTCCCCAATTTTGTGGTTTGTGTCCCGAATTTGGCTGCTCTCAGCCCAAATCTTCATGTAAATGGTGGCGAGGAGGGGGCTGCGTCCCTGCTGCTGCTCGGGGACCCCCCCCTGACACGGCCTTTTCTCCTGGCAGGTTGCTTACTAACCGAAGAGAGCTTCTCTCTGCGATGTCCCAAACATAAGGTGAGCCCAGAGACCCTCGGTGCCCCCCCAGGGGAAGGCAGAGCTGCTTTCACGCCGTGTCCCCCCCCCATCCTTGGGGACGTCCCCCTCCTTGGCACAGGGCAATCGCTTCCCTGGGGCCCCCCATGAGACCCCCAGTACAGGGGCTGTGCCCCCACAAACAGTCTGTGGGGTTTTTTTATGGGATTTTGTCCACTGACCTGAGGGGGGGACACAATTTAAAAAATTTGGACAATTTAAAAAATTGTCTAAAACCCCATCCTCCGGGCTCGGCGCTTTTCGCAGGGCTGCATCCCGATGGGGACACCCCCGCCAGCTTGGGGACAATGTGCCGTGTGTCCCCCCCCCCACCCCATTAACCCCCTGTCCCCTTATCCCCGCAGAGGCAGCCCGTGTAGCGGCGCGGGAGGCGCGAGGACCCCCCCCCACCAGCGAGGGACCCGCGGGGGTGGCAGCGCCACCGTCCCCAGCACGGAGCCGTCGGGGGCCACCGGAGGAGCGTGGCCCCCGAGGTGGGCGCAGCGCTGCCGGCAGCCCCCCAACCTCTCTCCTCGGGGCCCCCCCTTCGGTGGGGAGAGCCCCCCGGGGTGGAAGAACGGGGCCGGGGGGGCACGGAGCCCCCCCAGGGTGGCGTTGGCGGGGTCACCAACCCCGGTGACATCCGTATGGAGAACACAGAGACTGCTCCAGGACTACGTGAGCTGCACAGGGGTGGTGGGATGGGGTGGGGTGGGGGGGTGGGGGGGGTGGGGAGGGGGCGGGGGGGGGGCCGTGTACCAAGGGGTCCCGGCGCTGTTGTCTTACTTTGGGGCCGCCGGACCCTTGCGTGGGTTCCCGGGGTCTCCGTATCTCACACTGATCTGATCTGAGATGTTGCCTTCAGCAAACCTCATGGTGTCTGTCTGTATATATGTGCGCGACGGAGAAAAGGAAAAAAAAAGGAAAAAAAAAAGAGAAAAAAAAAAGGAAAAAAAAGACAAAAAAAAGACAAAAAAAAAAAAAAAGGAAAGAAAACAACAACGGCCTGCTGTCTGAAACACCACTTGGCTTTTTCCGTTTCGTTCTTCCATCTCCTGCCTGCCCTCTCCCCACCCTGCCGGGCACGGGGACAGCGCTGGGACACCAGCGGCCGTGTCCCCACCGGGGCTGCCCCAAAGCCCCGATTCCTCCCTCCGCTTGCACCCACCTTCCTCCTGCCCTTTGGGGGGCTGGCGCTGCTGGGCTGGGGTCCCCAAAAGGCCACCCTCCTTCTGCTCTGCCTCGCCCAGACCTCGGCTCGATGGGGATGGGTTTTGCTCCCTGCGCTTGGGCTTAAACCCCAAAGCTCTGGGTGCAAACCCCATAGTTCTGGGTACAAACCCCATGGCCCTGGTGCAAGCCCCATTGCTCTGGGTGCACACCCCAAGGCTCTGGGAGCAAACCCCAAGGCTCTGGGTGTAAATCCCATAGCTCTGGGTGAAAACCCCATAGCCCTGGTGCAAGCTCCATGGTCCTGGGAGCAAACCCCAAGGCTCTGGGAGCAAACCCCAAGGCTCTGGGTGCAAACTCCATGGCCCTGGTAAAAATCCCATAGCTCTGGGTGCAAATCCAAGGCTCTGGGTGCATGCCCCATGGCTCTGGGTACAAACTCCATGGCCCTGGTGCAAGCCCCATTGCTCTGGGTGCACACCCCAAGGCTTTGGGTGCAAATCCCATAGCTCTGGGTGCAAACCCCAAGGCTCCGGGTGCAAACCCAGCTTTCCAGCCTGGTGCAGGTGGGCGCAAACAGCCCAGCAGCAGCTCCCTCTCAGCAGCACCGGTCCCCATTGGGGTGGGCAGCATTTGGGCTGCCCCAGCCCACCCCACAGGGACGTGGGACACCACGGGGAGGATCGGAGGAGACCCTCGTGTGGCGCTGGCTTGCCCCTCGCCAACAGCTTCCTTTGGCTTCCTCCTCTCCGGGCTGCTTCAGTGGGGCTGCCCAGGGCGATTTAACCCCAAATCCCCATCCTAAAAAGCCGTGAGCTGCCCCCCCCCAGCAGCGCCGAGCATCCCACGGGAAGGGGGCAGCCCCGTGGTGCCCCCTCCATCCCACACCCAGCCCTCACCCTCAAGGTTTGCTGGCCAAGAAATGTCGTTTCAGCAGCCTGCCTCGGACACGGGGGCGAAAAACACACGAAAAATTAAAAAAAAAGGGAGAAAAGAGACTAATAAAAATAATTACAAAAAAATATAAGAAAAATCATCTGTGTCCCTGGCAGCGCTGCCCGAAATCTGGCTATTTTTGGTGACATCTTGTACATATGACTGTAAAATGGTAAACCGTGTGTATTATATATTGCCTCATTATATAGTGTATATATATGTATACATATACATATATATAATATATATGAAGACTGTAAATGTTAAGACTAGTGTTCTTATTAGTATATTGCTTCACACTGAAGATTGTGTGTAACAAGCTGTTTCTAAAAGATGTTTATTTTCCTTAAGAGTTAAAAAAAAACAGGTCATTGCATTCAGAGCGTCAATAAAGATACAACGATTGTTTTGGAAGTACGTGGCGCCCTGCTCGTGGCCTGTGTTCCTCTCTGTCCCTTTGTCCCCACGTGGCCCCCCCGCCCCCAAAAAGGCTCGCTGTGGGGTTGGGGTTTTTTTGGGGGGGAAGCTTGGGTATGGGGGCGGCAGCTCCGGTGCTCCCCACGCGCGTTGGGGTAGGTGGGTTTGGGGTGGCCCCATCCCTGTCCCCTTTGTCCCCCCCCAACCCCATTTTGTGCAAGGAAAGGGGGACCCCACAGGCTGCCCACCCGCCTGGGGGGGGGCTTTTTGCCCCAACCCATCTCGGTTTGCCCCCCCCCCTCCAGTGTCAGAGCCCAGTCCAGCACGCAGCGGTATAAATAATCAGCTTTAATTGTCTGTACAAAACTCTCCAACTATGAAAATACCGTTTAAAAAGGCGAGGCAAAGGGATGGGGGGGGGATGCTGGGGCGTGGCGGGGAGGGGGGGCTATGTACAAGGTGTGAGCAGCGAGGGGAGGGGATGGGGGCACCCACCAGCCCCCCCCCACACCCCCAAGGGGGGGGCCTCCCCTTCTCCAAAAGCGCTCGGAGCTGGCGCTCGGCACCGGCTGCAGCAGCTCCAAACTGGGGGGGGACTGGTCAGTGCTGGGGAGGGACGGGGGGGGCCCCTCTTTCCTACCACGGGCACCACCTGGGAGACAAGACGGTGCCACCATAGCTGCCACCACGGGGCAAAACCTCCTGCCCTCCCCAACGCTGGGGTGTCCCCCCCTGGGGCTTGGGGACCGCGGAGAGGGGGACGGGCAGGGGCGCGCAAAGGGGGGCGAGGACGGGCCCCAGCCCTGTGCTGGGGTGCTGCAAGGGGGTGTCGGGCAGCGGGGAGGAGGGTGGCCGAGCACCCCAGTGCCATGCAATACTGTGACAGTGTCACTAGATGTCCCCACGTCCTGGGGACACGCGGGGAGCACCCACTGGGGACGGTGACGAAGGTGGACGCGGCACCCTGGCGCTCCTCCTGCCCGGCGCCTCCAAAAACCTTGAACCCGTCCTGCAGCGAGGGCGAGAGGGCTTTGGGGTGACCCCATCCCCTGTTGTCCCCCCCCCACCCCGGCTACCCCGAGGTGACCGTGGTGCCGCTGCCCAGCTTGATGATCATCTGCTGGCAGTCGTGCAGCGTGCGGCGGTCGCCCAGCTTCTCCAGCGTGCGCGCCGCCTCCGCCAGCATCCCCACGCGCTGCCCGGGGGCCGAGAGGAAGCTGGGGGGCAGGTAGCAGGAGGCGAGCAGCAGGGCCTCGGCGTGTTCCCGCGGCGTGGGGTGGCTCTCGGGTTCACCAGCTGCGGGGACAGAGCGGGCGTCAGTCCCTCACCAGCCCTTTGGGTTCTCCGGGTGTGCTGCGAGGCTATTTGGGCACCCAAAATATTGGGGGAGAAGCTCTCCCTATCCATGCCGTACCCCCTAAATATGGTGGTGGCGAGCAGCGGGGTGTCCCCATGGGGTGCCCAGTGCAGGGGGGGCTCCCCGAGCCCTTCACCCACCTGTTTTGCTGCCCTGCACCCCTCTCCTCCGCAGGCTGCGGTCCAGCAGCTGGTGGGTGCGCGTGGGGCTGGCGCGAGCCATCAGCCTGGCGGTGGCTTCGTGCAGGAACACCTAGGAGGAGGAGGATGAGGAGGAGGAAGAAGAGGAGGGTTGGGGGGCACAGTACGCGTCCCCACGGGGCTCTCGGAGGCTGGAAGGGGGGCTCACCCTGCGCATGGCGGGCCGGAGGGTCTGCGCCAGGCGCCGCAGGGTGCTGAGGTCCTGCTGGAAGCCGCGGAGCTCCAGGGCGGACGCTTGGTAGGCGCCGCGGAGCTGCTGGCTGGCGCTCATCTGCTGCTGCCACAGGTTGGTGCGGGTGACCAGGAGCAGGTCGCACAGCAGGAGCTGCACCGCCTGCAAGGATTTGGGGAGGACAGACAAAAAGGGGAGAGGGGGGGGGCAGTGAGCGGGACAGACGGACGGGGCGCACCCCGCTACCCTCTCCCCGTGGGCGGGCGGCGCTGCGCGGGACCCCCGCCGGGCTGCATGGCAGGGGCATTGCACTCCCAGTCTGACACATGCAATGCAACTACAATGCACCCCCGCGAGGGCCGGGGACGCCTCCTGCGTTTTGGCAATCCCCCCCCAAAAAAAGAACAAAAAAACCCGCTCCCGGCCCCTCCGGCTCCCCCAGCCTCACCTTGTCGATGGTGCACTTGGGGGGGCTGCTGAGCTCCAGGCTCTCCCGCAGGCAGCTGCTGGCTTTCTCGCAGTGGTTCAGGCTGGCCTGGCTCCCGTCCTGCTTGCTCAGCATGGCCCGGACAGCCTTGAAGGAGTGCAGCGCGGCGCGGGGAAGGGGCTTCCTGCACGGGGACGGGGAGCACGGTGACCACAGACCCCTCGCTGGGCACGGTGAAGCCCCTTTCCAGCAGGTGCAGGGGCTGCGCTGACCCCAAATAAAAGGGGGTGCAGAGGAAGAGCTGGCACCCTGCACCCCGCCACCCCCAGCACTCACTCAGAGCCCTGCAGCACCCGGGGCATGGTCTCCACCAGCGGGTAGAGGCGCTCGGCCCCCTCCTCGTCTCCCTGCAGCCAGTGGATAACGGCGCCGATGACGGACGCCCACCACTTGGACACGGGGTCGGTGCCTGCGGGGTAGAAATGGACATGGAAATGGGGTGTCCACGGCCAGCCCGCTGCCCCCACGCAGCGCCCGGGGGACGCCGGCCTCACCGGTCACCGCCGCCAAGCCGCAGCTGATGGAGGGCGCGGGGCCGGGCGCACCGCTGGCATCGGAGCAGCCGTTGAGCAGCTGGAGGTACTCCAGGGCATCCGAAAAACGCCTGGTGGGGCAGCAGAGGGGACGTGAGCGGGGCTGGAACCCCCGGTGAGCAAAGGGAAGGGGTGCCCACCCCGACACTCACCCCTCTCCCTGCGCCGCGGGGCGGCCGGGCTCGGGCATGGCCACGCAGCACAGCGCCTTCTCCAGGAGGTGCTCGCGGAAGAGCTGGGTCACCTGCGCCAGCGGGTCCACTGTGGGGCAAAAGGGGTCATAACCAGCCCCAAAATGGATGGGGGGGGGTGCTGGGGGGTTGAGGGGGTACCTGGGTTGCCGGCGGAGCTGTAGATGGTCTCCCTCGGTGCGCCCTTGACGGCCCAGTCGCCGTCCACGAAGAAGCGGTGGCCCAAGGGGTGGCAGAGCCACTGCATGGCGGGGGGCACGGCCCCGCCGTGGGACAGGGCCACGCGCCGGGCACTGCACAGGAAGGGGCGCTGCGGGGACAGCACAACATTGGGGTGGGGAAAAGAGGGGGTCCCCAGGTCCCATTAATGGAGGGGGACACGACACCAAGCCCTGCAGTTTGGGGACAGGCGGCCACATGGAGCCACCAGGTCCCACGGCACAGCTGGGGACGGACACGCCACCGGGCACCCCACCAAGCCCCCCGCAAGCAAACAGGGCCGCTCCCCACCCCTTGAACCCCCCCAAAACTCACGGCCAAGAAGTGGAAGCAGCGGTGCAGGCTGGCCTTGACGCGCAGGGCTGCCGCCACGTAGATCTCGGCCAGGGCAGCCACGGACACGGCGTCGCCGGCGCACTCGGCCAGGTTGACGGCGCTGAGCGCCAGGTTGATGGCCAGCAGGTGCCCCCCGGCTTGCTTCCCTGCGGGGACCCCCACCGGGCGGGGGGGTGTCAGCAGGCAGCATGACGACACCCCCTCCCCAAAATAACCCTTCCATGCCCTTTGCCCCATCCTGGTGGCACGGCGCCTACCCGCGAGGTGCAGCTGGTGCAGGCGGTGATACGCCATGGCCGCGTCGCGTGCGCTCTGACGGACGTGGGCGCGGGGTGGGGGGTCCGGGCGCAGCCCCCCGGCGCGGGCGGCCAGCCAGCGGCCCACCCAAAGGCGCTGCAGGAGGTGGCGCAGCAGGGTCCAGAGCAGGCTGCAGGCCAGGTCCCCGTGGGAGGCGGGCAGGGGGCGGCCCAGGGCCCCCAGCGCCGTGCGCAGGTGCTGAGCCCCCTGCGCGAAGTCGCCCTGCGGAGACCCCCCCCCAAATGGGGGTATTGGCATGGGGGGGTGGGGCCAAGGAGGTGGGAGGGGCTAGGGGCTGGGGGCGTGGTCAGGGTGGGGGGCGTGGTTAAGGTTTGGGGGCGTGGTCAGGTTTTTTGGGGGGCGTGGGGAGGGGAGGGTCAAGGAGAGGGGGTTGGGGGAGCCAAAGGGGGCGTGGGAAATGAATGGGGGGCGTGGTCAATGAGGGGCGTGGTCAATGAATGGGGGGCGTGGTCAATGAGGGCGTGGCCAATGAGAGCATGTGGGCGTGGTCAGGAGGTGGGGGCGTGGCCCCATCCCAAGGGGTGTGAATGGGACCACGGTGGGTGGGCGGGGCTAAGCCACGTGGATGGGGCGTGGTCAGGGTGGGTGGGCGGGGTTAATGCAAATGAGGTGGGCGTGGCATGTGGAAAGTGGGTGTGGCTTGGGGAACGTGGGCGGGGCTTGGGGAAAGTGGGCGGGGCTTACCCGCTCGAGGTCGAGGTCAGCCTGGCGGCGGTGGCGCCAGAAGAGGACGGAGGGCTCGGAGTGCGGGGGGGTGACGGGCTCCCCGCAGACGAAGAGCCGCACCACCGCCCCCAGCACCAGCGCCGCGTTCAGCCCCCAGAACACCAGCGTGGGCCACAGCCACTGCGACCACCCCCACGGCTCCTCTGCGTGGGGACGGCGGGCGGTCAGCGGCATCCGGCCCCGTGGAGCCCACCCCGGTGACCTCCATCCCCGTGGTGCCCACCCCAGTGTCCTCCACCCCAATGGTACCCACCCCAGTGACCTCCACCCCAATGTGCCCACCCCAGTGACCTCCACCTCCATATTGCCCACCCCAGTGGCCTCCACCCCAATGTGCCCACCCTAGTGGCCTCCATCCTAATGGTGCCCATCCAGTGGCCTCCACCCCAATGTGCCCACCCCAGTGACCTCCACTTCCATGGTGCCCACCCCAGTGACCTCCAGCCCCATGGTGCCCACCC